CGGGGCGGGGCCCCTGGGGTCAGTCTCAGCCTCCGGCACCGGCCGCGCAGCTGGAGGCGGCGGAGCGGAAGGTACTCAGGGCCGGGGCTGCGGGCGGCGGGGCGTCCTGGGAACTCGTCCCCGGGAGAGCACTTTCCCCCTCTCCACTCTCCTGGAGCTCGGGGCGCGGCTCGGGATGGGGTTTGGCCCGAGCGTGGGCCGCGTTCCCTTCCCTTGGACACGGCGTCCGGGCCGTGCAGGGGTCCGGCCGGGTCGGCCCCTTCCCGGGCTGCAGCGAGCGGCCCCCGGAACTACCAGGCAGGACTCTTGCCTCCTGGGGTTCGAGGGGTCCCATCCAGAGCCCTTCCCTTCCCCTCCCGGCGTCTCAGAACCTGCCCCGCCGGGCGAGGGGCGAGGGGGCGACTTGGATCTTCGCAAGGGAGCCTCAGCCCAGACGCTGTAGCTGCCAGGCCGGGCGGCCCGAAGGGGACCTGGAGTGGGGTGGGGGTGGGAACTGCCCCAGGCCAGGATGGTGGAATGGCGGGAATAGGGGCGGGATGTGACCGTGGGAGCTGCCACTGCTCGGCGGGGCCGCCTTAGACGGTTCCTGGAACCTCCCTGTATTACGGGGTAGGGAAGATCCGCGAAAGATTCAGCTCCTGTGTGTGTGTGAGAGAGGGAGAAAGATTCTCCCGCCTCCTTCCCACTCTGGAAAGAAGCATGCTAAAATTATTTTGGAGGGGTTGGGCTGGGAGATCCCAGGCTGAATCCTGCCCTCAAGTCTGGTTTTTTAAAGTTGAGGATGAGGTATTTCCTGAAGACTGATTCCTTCCCTAGATCTCGGGGCAGAGGGCGAAAGGGTCAGCAGCATCAGCTGGCCCCTCTGGCTCATCTGGGAAATCAAGAGAACGACTCAAGAGAGGTCTGATGTACCCACAGTGTCTTGTGTCGCACAGAAGGCCCCAGAAGTTCCAGGCTCCATTCTGGGCCCTGTGTGGGGTTTGCTGCTCTTACGGTCAGTGGGACAGACAGTTCCTCTGGGGCTACCGCTTACAGCGAGTTGCTGTCCATGCCATCATGGCCTTGGCTGGGCCTAGTGGCCTGTGCTCTTCTAGCACAACCAGAGCCCAGAGGGAAAGTCTTCTAATTGAGCTGGAGGCTCCAGCTCCCTTAATGCACGCCCCTAACCTGAAATTCTGGCTTCTGCCTCCCACCATCTGGTGCCACCCAAACTGCCCTGCTGGGGTGTAGCAGTGGCATACTCACACCGAAGTGGCTGGTATTCATCCCAATAGTGATTGCCCTCCATCAGCACTGCCCACCCGGGTTGGGCTACTCCAGCCTGTCTTTATCCAGTGGGACCAGTTGAACTAATGGGAGTGGGTGGGGGGGTTGGAAGAAATCCTGGTGTCAGTCACCTGGGTAGAATTCCCAAAGAACCTCCTTTTTGGAGGGGATCTGCTGGCAGGGCGAATGCCTTCTTGCCTGCCTTTTAGGGTATCAGGGGGAGCCCCTTTTGCGGTAGGGAGAGTGTGGCTGTGAACTCCTATGAATTCTCTCTGACTCATGTCCACTCCCCCACATCCCGGTTTTGTGAGTGTGCCGTGTGCGTGTGCAGGGGAGGGAGGGGCCTCCCAGGCTCCCACTGGTGAAGAGAGGTAGCCTGGGGCTAGAGTGTTTGCCTCCTGCAAGGCAGACCAGGCAGGGCTGTGAGGTGGTGGTATGTGGCGAGTAGAAGAGTTCAGCTCAGTCTGACAGGATGTGGCTCTGAGAGAAAAAGCCAGGTTTGGGGCAGAGATCAGGTTACCGTCCCCTTCTTAACTGCTCCCTGCCTGGTTGGTGCCGCGCCTGGCCCTCATTTTTCTCTCCTCTTGGGGCTCCTCCCAGCCCAGTCTCTAGCCCCCTCCCACTTCCCAACAGCCTTGACTTCTTCTCAGCCCCGGAGCCCGCCCTCTCTTCCTCCCAGGCTGTAGGCCTGGGAACTGCAGCCAGCTGGAGGCCTGCTCCCCTCCCCAGGGAAGAAGGAAGTGAGGGAAGCTCCGAAGGTGTGATGAACTGGGCAGATGCTCGTTCATGTGTGTTGGGGGTGGCGGACACACAGAAAGCCAGGGAAGCTGACTCCTTGCCCTGAGTCACAGGGAGGGGTGGGCAGGGCCTTTGGGTGAGCTGGACGGAGGGAGGAAGGGGTTGTTCCAGAGAATGGGTGGAGGTGATTCCCTAGTGGATTATTCTGTTTCTCTGCTGTGGTGGATGTGTGGCTCTGTACAGTGTGGTCATTGTCCCCTGCCAGGAGCTGAGTGACCCAGTGTTGCTGCCAGGCCCAGGAGGGAGGGGGGAGGAGGGCAGGCTGCCCGAGTGGGAGCTGTGGGCACTTCAGGGACTGAGCCTCCTTTGTGTGACTTGGGGCTTTGGGGACCAGGTGGGCTGGGCCAGGGAAGCCAGCCGGCTACTGCCACTGTCGTCTGTCTGGGTTTCCCTGCTTCTTCTCTCCTTCCGACGTCTGGTGTTATATGTAGAAAAGGCACAGACTTGAGTCACACAGGCCTGCTTTGAGTGATGTCCCTGCCTCTTATGTGCCATGACTCTGAATACATTTCTTAACTTCACTGAGCCTTAGTTTCCTAGTTTGTCAAATGGGAAGTGCACCATCTACCTTCCAGGCGTCTAGGGAGGCAATCTCTGTCATAATGCCAAAAATAGTGCCTGGGCTCTGTAAGTATTCTTTCCCTTACCCATCCACCACCTGGTAGCTGCCGCCACTAGTCTGTGGTCTTGCAGAGAGGACTCCTCATTTGTGACTGGGCAGGTGTGACTCGTGTGGAGCGACAGTCTGTTCTAGATTGGACCTTTGAGATTATTAAACTTTAAATGCATCAAAATCCTGGTAACAAATGAAGTCTGACTTGAAATCCTGATATGTAAATTAGATAAAAGCTGGACATGTCCCTGATCCCTGAGCACGTCTCTAGGTATCTGGGGTCCCCCAGTTGGTGAGTGGATTAGATTGAAACTCATGTTTTCTGGCTCCCAAATGGGTTCTTATTCCATCTCCCACTGCTGTGCTTTCACCCATCTGGGGAGACCTGTCCCTGACCTAGAGATGAGGAATTTTAAGCTCTGTTGCCTGCACAATTGGTTCTTGACAGGAACATGCCTGAGCAAGCTCCCTTTCCTCCCTTTGCTGGATGCCTTGGTTTCCAGGAAGGTTTGGGGGGCTCTAGAGAAGTGATTTTGACCTTACTGGCTTTTCTCCAAATCCCCACTACCTTTTGCCTGTTAGCCCCAGCCATGGCTGCAATCCGAAAGAAGCTGGTGATCGTGGGGGATGGTGCCTGTGGGAAGACCTGCCTCCTCATCGTCTTCAGCAAGGATCAGTTTCCGGAGGTCTACGTCCCTACCGTCTTCGAGAACTATATCGCAGACATCGAGGTGGACGGCAAGCAGGTGAAGGCGAAGAGCCCCTTCCCAGGGAGCTCACCTTGGGGCCCTGCCACCGGTCACTCAGAGACCTAGTGCGTCCTTCCCCACCACCTACCCATGTCCTTGCTTCATTCTCCCTGCTAGGACCCAGTAAAAGTTAGGAAGTAAAACTGTGGTCTTAGGAAACCTGGATCTACCTTCTGAGAGAAGGGCTACCACTTACTAGCTCTGTAATCTGGGCTGAAACTCCCCCAGCTGCCAAACAGGGGTGACGGTAAGACCTCCCTCAGAGGGTCGTGAGAATTACCAAAATTATGGTGTTCACAATGGTGATTCATATATTACGCAAAGGTCAAACATGTCTTAGATTTAAAAAAAAAAACAAAACCCTAATTTGACCTAACTCGTGTGACGGCGATAAACACAAGGCCTGGCACATAACAAGTGCTCAGTCGAGATGTTCGGTGAGCCTAAAGGACTGGCGGTTTCAGAGCGGACCTCTGGGTGGCAGGGTTGGGGCCCTCAGGCTAGCTACTCACTGTCCTGTTTATCAGGTGGAGCTGGCTCTGTGGGACACAGCAGGGCAGGAAGACTATGATCGTCTGCGGCCTCTCTCCTACCCGGACACGGATGTCATCCTCATGTGCTTCTCCATTGACAGCCCTGACAGCCTGGGTGAGGGCACCGGAGGGAGGGTGGGATCGGCGGAGGCCTCTTGCCTCGGCCTGTCTGCAGGCATCTGCAGGTGCGGTGGGGTGCAGGCGGCACCCACCCTGTTGGTCTCCCGTACTGTGGCAGCCCCAGCACGGGCGAGGAGGAGGGGTTTTGAGGTGTGAAAGGAACTGTCATGCTGAGTGGCCTCTACGACTGCTGTGGGAAGATGAGGGGGCCCCCAGGGGAGCTTTCTAGTCTAAGTGGAGGCATTGACACCTGTTGGGGCGTGTTCGTGCAGAAAACATTCCTGAGAAGTGGACCCCGGAGGTGAAGCACTTCTGCCCCAACGTGCCCATCATCCTCGTGGGAAATAAGAAGGACCTGAGGCAAGATGAGCATACCAGGAGGGAGCTGGCCAAGATGAAGCAGGTGGGTGCAGCTGCCAGCCTGGAGCCCTTGGGGAGGAAGGTACCCTCCGAGGGGTTGCAGACTGGGAAAGGGAGCATCTCTTCAGCAGTGGCCCCGTTAGAGGAGACGGTGACGGCCACCTCCTGTGTGTCTTGCACCCTGGTGAGGGAAAACCGGAAGGGTGCTCAGTGTCTGATAAAATTTCTGATGAAATTATTAGAGAAACAGGAAGTGACTTGTCTAAATTCGTTTGGCATTTTTATTCCAGTTTATTGTCCTGTGTTCGGAATTAAGATGAATAGGAAAATCTCTGCCCTCAGGGAGACAGCTTCTTCTATGCACTGGGGGTACGCGCCTTGTGCCATCAGAGTGCCTCTGGGGCGGTGTGGGCTGGCATGGGTGCAGGAGGGGGAGGGCACTGTAAGTTGCTGGAAGAAAGGCCAGGAGGGTGAGAGAGCTGGCTTATTCAGGGACCTGGTCAGTGTCTCTCCAGCCAGAGGGCTAGAAGAAAGCTACCAGGATAAGGAATGCAGGCTATCTTGCAAGGATAACTGTAGCAAGGTTTTAAAATGGGGATAGATGTCAGGTCTGCATGTTACAAAAATAATTCTGGTGGCTACAGAGGATGTAATAGAGGAAAGTGAGAGTGGAGGCAGGGAGGCCAGGAGGTAGCAGACACTCACTTAGGCAAGAGATCATGTACTGTGGGGTGCAAGGTTGCATGGGAGTGGAGGGAATAGACTGGAGAGAATTTTTTGAATGTAAACATAAGAGTGCTGGATCCCTGACCATGAAGCTGCCCAGGGTAGCCTGGGGTCTGGGTGCTTTGTGGGGTCAGGGCTGGAGGTATTTGTTCTAGTTACTACGCTTATGGGTGAGGTGGAAAGAGGTACACGAGCCACTAGCTTCCTCTGACCCCTCATCTTCTGTCTTCTCAGGAGCCTGTTCGGTCTGAGGAAGGCCGGGACATGGCGAACCGGATCAGTGCCTTTGGCTACCTTGAGTGCTCAGCCAAGACCAAGGAGGGGGTACGGGAGGTATTCGAGATGGCCACTCGGGCCGGCCTCCAGGTCCGCAAGAATAAGCGCCGGAAGGGCTGTCCCATCCTCTGAGATCCCCACGGCTTCCCTTACATGCCCCCCTCTCTTCACAGGGGTGCAGAAATTCCCCACCCCCCAACCCCAGCCTCTTAGGGCTCCATGCTGAAGGCTCCCTTTTCAGTTCCCTCCTGCCCAGGACTGCACGGAATTTCCCCAGCCCCAAGGTGGTGGTGGCGGGAGGCCCTCGCCCAGTCCCCTGGGAACCCAGGCCTCTGCCCTGCCCTTCCTGAGCAGAGCCCCCTGGGGCTCTTGCTCCCTTCGACCTTCCCCAAAGGATGGTCACACACCAGCACTTTATATACTTCTGGCTCACAGGAGAGTGCCTGGGGTAGGGGACTTAGAGGGCATAACCCAGAGTCCCAGGCCCCTGGGGTTTCTGCTTTGGGCAGGGGCCTTGTCTCTGACTGCACTTGGTGGGGGGCATGAATAAAGACCACAGGTTCCAGCATGCGTGTGGCAATTTCCTGCCTTTCTCTCCCTGTCTGGGCTGCAGGCCTGGAGTCCCATCTCTCCTCATTTCCAAGTTGCTTGCCAGGCTGGCCCCCTGTCTGTAAAGGCAGGACTTTGGGCCAGCAGGGTGGAGTCTTAGAGCCGAGGATGAGGTCATGCCTGGCTCTGGGCCTAGGAGGCGGGTGAGGGGAGTGGTCTGTAGCTGGGACTAAAGTTAGAAACCTGTGGGTGGCTTCCCTGCCACCTCCCACTGGGTTTCCTCCCTGGATGTGGGGGCTGGGTTTCTCTCTAGCTGGGAGTGGGTGTGACAGTCCCACCCTCCCATGCAGGGTCAGCTTGGGGGCTCGGGAACCTGGGGCCAGTCTGAGGAGACATTATCAAGGCTTTTGCATAGAACAAGATTTTGTTTTCGGAGTTTTTCTTCCTCCCCCTTCCCCCGATTGTTAGCAGCTTGATGTGTCATTTTCCCCAGTAGGGGAGGGGGTGGAATGGCTTGGGTCGTACACTCCTGCCCCCAGCATTCCTGTCCCTTGGAGGGGCAGCTCGGCAGGGTCGGGTTCAGGCAGGGTTCTGGTTCAGGGTCAGGCGGGCAGTTAAGGCTTGGCTGGTGCGAGAAGGCCGGCTGCTGTGTCTTCAGAGCTCATTCCTCCACTCTGGCTCCACTTGCAGGGACAGGCCCCCTTCACCCTCCTGCTCCTGGAGGAGGAGGTAGTCGTGGCTGTGGGGCCCTAGAAAGAAAAGAGGTGCGCTTTGCCTTCCTTTCTTCCTCCTCCAGCACTGGCCCTCGCCTGGCCCACGTGGCCCTGCCATACCTGAGGTAGAGGGGCTGAGCTTGCTCAGACCTTGGAGCAAATTCTGTCCCTGCTGCAGGTCCAGTTTGGCAGGGAAGGGGCACCCGGTGTACCCTCCGTTTTCTTTACAGAACTCCAAGAATCTGCGGGGTACAGAGCAGTCTCAGCAGAGGCTAAGCCTGGGTCCTGTAACATCCATGCTATACTTGCTTAACCTCTGAATGTCAGTTAACTCACAGATACGGGGGGTGTTGTGAAGACGGACAGATCTGACAATCAATGAAACTATAAGCAGGTGCTTAATAAAGACACGTCTGCCCTAGGCTGGGGGTTGTGGCCACCCAGAGGGATCACGCGGGAATGCTCACACTTTCCAGTCGGGGTCATGGCCCAGGAGAAGGGGGTTGCCCACTATGATGAGCAAAGCCTTGGCCCGGGTCACAGCGACGTTGAACCTCTGGAAGGAAGAAGTGGCGGGGTCAAGGGAGGGAAGGGCCTACGGAAGAAGTCCTGCCGCCCAACAGCCCTCAAACCTTGGGGTTCTTCAGGAAACCCAGGTTAAAGTCCAGATCCAGCTGCACAAAGCTCTGGCTGCTTCGCACGGTGGAGATGAGGATGACGCTTCGTTCCTGGCCTTGGAATTCTTCCACAGAGCCCACCTGGAGGCGAGAGAGGCAGGGCCTGAGACCAGGGGTGTCAAAAGGGTGCCACAGGGATGTGTCCTGCCCCGGGAGCTTGAGGTCCAAGAAGGGTACCGAAAAGTCACCGGGCAACTGTAGATCAGTGGAGCGAGTGCGTGAATGCTGTGACAGTGACCAGGGAGAGGACGAGAGGTGTGCTGTGGAAGCTGAAACCTGACGGGTGAATCTAGTTAATGGGGTGGGGCCTGGAAAGTGTTCTGAGCAAAGGAAACAGCATGGCAAAAACTTGGTAACTCAGCGCAGAGTTTTTCAAACTTTCCTGAAAATAATCACTGTACAATATATATATACTGTATAATCAGTATACAACCCTGGGCCCTAACCCAGACCTCCTGATCAGAATTACCAAGGGAAGGCCTCTAAATCTGAAAGCAGTGGGGTTCTCAACCCTGGCTGCACATTATGACAGAATCACGTGAGGAGCTGTAAAAACTGCCACAGCCCCAGCCCTTCCCCGAGATAGCAGTGTTAACTGGCTGGGTGGGGTCCCGGCGCTGGCAGGTCTAAAAGCTCTCTCCAGGTGATTTTTATCCGCTGCCAGTGTTGAGAACCACAACTTCAGAGAAAGAGTCAAGCTACTGAGGGTGGGGCTGGAGGTGACAGTATCACGTGACATGTCCCATAAACCATGGAAATTGAACTTTATCCCTAGGGCAGAGGCCTCAAACCTGCCTAACTGTAAGAACATGAGGCGCTTATTAAACTTGCAGGCTTCCTGATCGCATCCCAGACCTTTAAGTTGGAATCTCCAGGAGTGAGGCTTGGGGAGAGCCCCAGTTCCATCTCAAGGAAGCAGGGGTAGGACGGGGACATGGGCTGGACGGGAGCAGAAGCCCGAGGAGGTCTCCGAAAGAGGGTAAGTGGGGTAAACAGAAGGCAGGGAGCGAATGCGGAATAGCGCGTCACCTTCAAGTCCTTGATGTCATCCAGGCCCCGAAGCTCCTTGTCAAGTTTGGTGATGCAATAACGGATTTTTTCCACCTGGAAGGAGGGGACAGATGCCTTTCTTTCCTGCCATTACCCCAATGCAAGAGGGAGCCAGGCAGGAGGCCAGGGAGCTGGGGAACTAGGAGAGGGCAGCTGACCTCTGTGCTCTTCTGAGATATGGGGCCAGCAGAGGCCTGAGCTCCTGGAATCTCTGCCTGGATATTAAAGAGGTACCGTCTGGGGGAGGGGTCCCGTCCTTTCTGGGAACTGAGGGCTTGACCTGCTTCCGGTATGGGGAGATGACGCCCACACTTCGGGGGCTCAGGCGGACTTTGCCCTTCTTGGAGGAGGGGGCCAGGAGCAGCTTCAGGTAGGAAGTCACTGTGGCAGCCTCTTCAGGGTTGAAGAAGGATGGGCTATTGCCCTCACGCTCATCCTTGCCCATTACGCCGTGAAAGATGATGGGAAAGCCCTGGACGTGGGGTCAGGAGAAACGCTCAGCTGGACCTCCCTGCCTCCCTTCCCCCCTTAACTCCCAACCCTTCCAGAGAATAAGGGATCCCAAGCCAAGGTGGTCAAGGGAGGGGCCCATGGCTCCTACACGAAGCATTCCTCCTGCCCTGCACCTTCAGGGGGACAGAGGCTGCTCAGTCTCACCTTTCGAGGCAGACCCTCCCAGCGGCAGAAGCGCTCTCGATCGACGACGTCAGCACAGGCCTGTAGCTCCCCTTCGTAATATAGCTGGTTCGGAATGTCCAGGATGGTGGGATGAGACCTGGGAGGCAGGAGGAGGAAGGAAGAGCAAGACCAAGGGTTGGATTACTTCTGCCCCACCCTCGGGGACCTCCACTCTACCCGCTCTGGGCCCACGCACAGTATCCTCCTGCCCTCCTCCCTGGATAGCAGGACACAATCATCCACGCCGTCTGCTGCCAGGCACTGTAAACCACAGAAAGCAGAACCAAATGTAGTTCCAAAGAGAATCTAGTCCAGGGATTTAATAGGCCAGTCAAATTTTTGAAACAAAACTAAAAAGTTAGGGCAGCTGGGCACAGTGGTTCATGCCTGTACTCTCTACACTTTGGGAGGCTGAGGTGGGAGGATCACTTGAGGCCAAGAGTTCGATACCTGGGCAACATAGCGAGACCCCCATCTCTACCAAAAAAAAAAAAAAAATTAGCGACCCATTCCCAGGTTTCAAATTTGCTGAGGAAGGACAGTACAAAAACAAATTATCTTCTGCTTATTTGATGAGAGACAATGCATTAAATCCGAAAATATTAAGAAGCAATGACACAACAGCTAATATTTATTGACCTCTTAGGACAGCCTGAAACTCATCTAAGCATTTTAGAATAACAATAGGTTTATGAAAAACTGTATTCTCCCTGTGTTTCTCACTTGTCCTTGGATTGCCTGGAAACTTCATCTGCGACCCATACCAGACACATCTTAGTCTCTGGCAACTGCTGACCACCCGCTAAGATGCGGGTAAGCCAGCGGATCCAGAGTGAAACCACCTGCTAAGTCACACAGACAGCAAGCAGCAGTGATGGGGCTAGAAAGGAGACTTCCTACCTTCCCGTTTAGAGTCTTTCTGCATCCTACAGCCCCTGAGCAACAGGGCTGCAAGCAGATCCGCCAGCTGGGGCTGCAGGGAGGGTGTGAGGGCATGGGCTGGCAGGAGAGGCAAGGGTGCGGGATACCTGTAGTTGCGTAGCAGCTTGGTAATAAACTGCGGGTCATAACCATCGGCGCCCTTCTTGTACAGGGCATTGAAGGTGAGCAGCCGCTCCAGCAGCGAGTACCCCAGCCCATGCTTCTGGGTCAGTGGGGAACGCAGCACAGGCCCCAGCTGCCGAGGGTCTCCTGCCAGCACCAGCTGCCCTCCTGGATTGCCTGTTTCCTTTACTTCCATCAGCCCTGGGAAGCAGGGGTGGTGTGGGGAGAGAGGTGAGGGGCAGATCCTCCCCGACCCCCCGCAGGGTGGCACACCTACAGCCCACCTGAGTCCCTCACCTGCTATGGCCACCAGACTCTCGGGCTCCATGCAGTGGCCAGCCTCATCGATGAAGATGTGTGTGAAGTGATCAATGGGAAACTGGGCTGAGACCAACCTGGGAGGTGTCAGGCCAGGCAGGGCTCACATCCAGGTACCCAACTACCAAACCTGAACGCACACCCAAGCTGGCCCCGCACTTCACCCTCTAGGAGCCATTCTTCCCCGTCTCCCAGCCCACTATCCCTTTACTTACACTTACGATTAAGAGACACACGCCCCACCTGCTGGCAGTGATGAGGGTGGTAATTAAGACTGGATATTCCTGCAGCTTCTTCTTGGCGGGAAATACATACTCCCCCTTCTTTGCATCCCAGTTACAGCAGGGCTACGGATTGTGCAAGGACCAGCGGAATTAGTTTGGCTCCACCCATTCTCACCCTGACTCTGGGTCTGAGGCCCTCGAACAATTTTACCCACCTCCTTCAATTTATAGACCAAAAAACTGAGGCCCAGAGAGAGGTCCTGACCAACCCACGGTCACACAGCAAGTATCGGAATCCAGTAGAGAGCCTCCCCAGC